ATTGTTATCACTATAATCGTTTTTATTATCATTATTATTATTATTATCATCTATTATTATTGAAAAGCTCGAGAAGTAAACGTAGACAAGGTGTGTTTTTCTTAGCTTCTGATGGACATTTTAATGTGTTTTTTCGATTTTTAGGGTTTTTATCAAACTTTTGTAAATATTTTTGGTGATTTTAAAAAAAGTGAGCAGGATCAAAATTGATGCAACAAACAAAATTAGCTGAAGTGGAAAATAATTGAACTTTGTGTTGATCATTCAGTCGTGCTTGTGATTTCAAATTAAAAGTCGCACTTCGTGGTGCTTTATTTGCTTTTATTATTGATTAACTGATTCTATGCAGTACAACGATTTTACTCCCATATCAATTTTATGCATATTAATATATACCAGGTGCTAGCTAGGTTAGGACACAACAATATGATGTGTTTTTTCTGCATTTTAGGTGTTACCTCATCCAGCTGGAAGTGGCGCAGTTTTAGTCGCAGAATATCTTGAAATGAAAAGCTTGAGAAATTACCAGTCACACCTAGGGACAGACCTTGCAAGGTTAATGTTACTGAGTTTTTTCGTTGGTTGAAAATTTCATAGTAGGAATGTTTTCCCTGTTGTAAGAATGCTGTATCATGTTTTCTTTTATTATTACTCAAAGACATTACAAATTTTTTGATACATGGCAATAATCTTTGACACACCATTTCTAAAGGCTTCACCTGGACAATATAAACAAATTAGAAAAAGAAACATCAGGGGAGAGTAAGATTGGAGAGAGTCATAATCCAACTACAGTTAAAAAATTTGGCTTCCCATGCACAACTTCCTGTGGTTACATTGGGCAAAATAATGAATGGCATGATGATTGGACGGTAAGTGTCACCAATAATGTATTATGTTTAGTAACTCTTCTGTTTCACTTAATTAGGTGAAATTTAATCACTAATTGAGTTGTTGTAAAGTGGTGATTCAAGCTCAACATATTTCAAAGTTGCCATTTTGCATTTTTAGTGTTTGCCAGTGAAAAAAATTTGGTCAACAGAGGAAAAAAAATTGGCAAGGTGAAAGAGGAAGCTTCTTACCTAGGACAAGAGACAATTACACTCCCAACTGCTTCTTGCACAGAAACCCAGTTTTTTATTTATTATCAGCTCTGAATGAAAGTCATTCTCAGTCATGCAGCCATAAATGCCTTGATTTTACGAAAATCTCTATATCTATTTCACTGACAATTTTGCTTTGTCTATTTTGTTAAAAGTCTCCTTTGCAGGGGTCATTTGGGCTCCTCAACTGACAAGTGGAAGGATTAAGTATCTTGCGAGAGGAGCCCAAGCACCAACTGTGAAGGAGACGACCATAGCACTGATAAGACTTTGAGATGAGCTAAATGCTTTTTCCCATAGAGTTTTTATACTCGAAGTCGATTACAATGTCAGATGGACCTAATAGATAAACAGGTAAGTGAAGGCATGGTATCAGCCAGCATATCTTTCTACAACTGTTTACAATTGGAGAGATGATTAATATGTGCTTTCTGTCACAAGTATGATCTGTACAAAGAATATGTTTTGGTCCCATGGTGTGAAATTTTCACTCCCCCATAGAGAACTCAATGGTGAGTTTTGCATTACAATTATAACTATGCTCATGAAAAGTTACAATTACTGGATGGACATTTTTTTACCCAAATAATATACTGACACAACATCTTCAACATTGCTGAGAATAGATATGAAGCAGGATCAGTTTTTCTTGTCTCAGAAGTTCATTGTAGCTCAGTGGCCGAGCATTAGGATGTGTGAAATCAGGAGGCTTGGGGCTCAATAATACCTTGTGGAGAACTCTGTGTCCCATCAGTTCTCCTGATACATTACACTCTAACAGTTGCCATACACTGATTAAGTAATTGACTTTGTTTTTTATTTCTTTTTTATTATCATGTTATCATGATGCATGTAGTATGGTGACACAGAAACAAGATCCCTTTGGACAAGACTTAAGCTTAAAATACCCGAGTATTTCAATGGCATGGACATTAAACCATCTCTTCTCCATGGAGACCTCTGGAGTGGGAATGTAGCAGAAACAGAGGATGGTCCAGGTTGACTTTTGTTTCCAGCTAATGTTTAGGGATATTTTGAATTTTAATTGTTAAATTATACTTCAGAACAGTCGCCTCCATAACAGTGCGAATAAAAGTTGGTAACACTGTTATATGTCGTCTCCTTTATCTTCATATAATCCACATTATATTACAGGCTGCAAGCAGCCCTTGTATAAATATATCTTATTAACCAAGCACGAGGGCCGTACTGGGAGAACATTGGCCCGAGGTCTTGACAGTACGGACCGAGCTCAGCGAGGTCCGTACAAAAAAGACCAAGGGCTGATATTCTTCCAGTACGGTCCCGAGCAAGCTTGGTTAATAAGAGATTTATTATACGACTGAAGTTCAAAGGGACACAAGTGCGGTATCATTCGGGACCATTCGGGACAGTGCACGGTCCAATACTTAGAGAATATTGGACCGGCAATAGAGCATTTTGATTGATTGATTTTAGTTATTGGCCCTCTGACTGCCCGAGTCGTGTTATAATCTGTGATTGTTATTTAACATTGCTTAATGTAGTTTACATATTTACTTACTATAGGTAAGATGTAACTCTAGAAAATGCTGGCTAACAGTCTTAGGCCCTACTTATGTGAGGTAGTCTTAAGGCTTTACAGGGCCCAACTATTTTTTACACTGCTCTGTTTTGTGTCAATTTATTTTGATTTGCTCTTGTTTCTATTAAATGCTTCAGTGGTTGACAGCCTCTGTCATCACAACTCTCCCCTTTCTTGTTGGTAGGTTCTGGTGAGAACTTATAGATTTTTCCTCTGAGATCTTCAGTGTGCCTGTGCCTGCCTGTGGAACTCACAGTTACCATGGTTACCTAATACACACACACACACACACACACACACACACTTTCCGCTCGTCAATTTTTCTTCTTGTCTATTAGGTTGCTCCATCCAATTTTGTTCTAAAACTTCCACAAATTAAATATTATTTTATTTATTTAATTGCATATTTAATATTCATTTTGATATTTATTAAATATTAATTTATTTTTAGCAAGAATGATGAAATATTATTGCTGACAATAACATTATTTATTTTTGCCTTAGTTTGTAAAGTGTAACCCGTAAGAGTGACTTACATACCTACATACCATAGGTTAGTTGACCACTCCCCATGGGGGCTTTTCAGGGCCAATTCCCACCCATCCCACCTCAGTGGAGGACATCCACGACACCGTAATCTCGTACGCGGGAAATTAACGTCTCCTACCCCTAACCCTACAGTAGACGAGGCCTATGTTTTATTCGTCCTTATCCTAGAAGACTTTAAGGGTTAGAATATGTATCAATTTCTTGATGATAGAAAGGTAGCAACTTAGTATCCTATCTCTCAATAGATTCTATCAAGGTGACCCTGAATCACACATAAAGCTCATACACAATAATAAAAGAAATGATCACCAACCAAAGAAGCTCTTGATCGTTAACAAATTCTCCCTGACTGCTCCTCAGGAAGTATACAGAGAACAGTATATGGAGAATATGCATGCTGATGTAGGGGTATTGAGGGTGAAACAGAGATTTAGTTCAGGATACATGATTATTCTCTTATTTTGCAGTTGCATTTGATCCAGCATCTTTCTATGGGCATCATGAATTTGATTTAGCAATAGCAGGAATGTTTGGTGGTTTTACTAAGGCCTTCTATGATGCATATCACAAATTGATACCAAAAGAAAAAGGATTTGAGCAAAGGCACCAACTTTATGTATTGTTTCATCATTTAAACCACTGGTATGTAGTTTCCTTCTGAAAGCCTTTGGATTTCAGTGGACCTAACTTTGCCTGGCTGCATTTAGGGGGGGGGGGAGATGCAATGTGATCATCTCAACCTCTCTACCTCACGAGAGTAGTTGCTAGTTTAACCCACCCTGTCAGATAGTATTCTCTTCAATAACTTATAATAATAATAATAATAATAATTTAATGTTTATATTGTGCAAATCAGCATGTGGATATGATCAAATAATAGTAATAATAATAATAATAACAATAAACAGTTTAACGTGGAGAAACACTTAGCTAGAAGCTAGTTTACAGGTTTTCCACGAAACAACTTAAACAAATAATTCAAATTGAGAATACCATTGTTAAGAACCCCAACTGGCCGAATAAGGCAAACCAGTTGGCTATATTTCAAGCATGGCCAAGGATCTGAAATTCGGGGCTACCGTGAAACAAATCCAAGTAGTGGCCAGGGCGGGACATGAACCTGGGAGCAACGGATTGAAAGTCCGAAACACTGACCACTCGACCATGCTGCCTTCTAAATGTGCATCACAACACTTTTCAGGGGTCTTTGGCTGGACTGCATCAGCAGTTTACAAACAATCAAAGGAAACTTATTAGAAGATGCCGCCCAACCAGGTCTGTAATGACTTACTGGAGAACGTTTATTCT